AGGTATATATGCCAGTGTTATATATGCCAGTGTGAAGAGGTATATATGCCAGTGTGAAGAGGTATATATGCCAGTGTGAAGAGGTATATATGCCAGTGTTATATATGCCAATGTGAAGAGGTATATATGCCAGTGTTATATATGCCAGTGTGAAGATCCAAGCCTAATTAAAACAGTTATTGATATTTCATGTAGTTGTATTGGGAGGTACTGAACTAGAATGCAGCTATATGAACTCCAGTGGGGGACATCCAGTGGACATCCAGTGGACAGAGCCATCGCACATCATCATATTTTAAATACATCTACCATTTACAGGATGCCCACAAAATTGTTTATTTATCCATATTTCCATTTTTTCAAATCATACATACACTATATTGCCAAAAGTACTGGGACACCTTTACACACACATGAACTTTGATGACGTCCCATTCTTAATACATATGCTTTCATATGGAGTTGGCCCACCCTTTGCGGCTATAACAGCTTCAACTCTTCTGGGAAGGCTGTCCTCAAGGTGTATGAGTGTGTTTATGGGGATTTTGAATATTCTTCCAGGAGAGCATTTGTGAGGTCAGGCACTGATGTTGGATGTGAAGGCCTGGCTCTCAGTCTCCACTCTAATTCATCCCAAAGGTGTTCTATTGGGATGAGGTCAGGGCTCTGTGCAGGCCAGTCAAGTTCCTCCACACTAGACTCGCTCATCCATGTCCTTATGGACCTTGCTTTGTGCACTGGTGTATAGTCATGTTAGAACAGGAAGGGGCCATCACCAAGCTGTTCCCACAAAGTTGTGAGTATGAAATTGTCCAAAATGGCTTTGAATACTGCAGCATTAATAGTTCCTTTCACTGTAACTAAGGGGCCAAGTCCAATCTCTGAAAAACAACCCACACTATAATTCCCCCTCCACCAGACTTTACATTTGGCACAATGCAGTCAGGCAAGTATCGTTCTCCTGGCAACTGCCAAACCCAAACTCATCCATTGGATTGCCAGACACAGAGCTGTGATTCGTCACTCCAGAGGACACGTCTCAACTGCTCTAGAGTGTGGTGGCAGTGTGCCTTACACCACTGCATCCGACGCTTTGCACTGCACTTTGTGATGTAAGGCTTGGATACAGCTGCTCGGCCAAGGAAACTCATTCCATGAAGTTATCTACGCACTATTCATGAGCTAATCTGAAGGCCACACAAAGTTGGGAGGTGTGTAGCTATTGACTCTGCAGACAGTTGCCAACTTCTGCGCAGTGTGAACCTCAGCATGCGTTGTCCCCGCTCTGCGATGTTACGTGGCCTGTCACTTTGTGGCTGAGTTGCTGTTGTTCCCATTTGCTTCCACTTTGTTATAATGCCACTAACAGTTGACCGTGGAATATTTAGTAGCGAGGAAATTTCATGAATGGACTTATTGCACAGGTGACGCTTGAGTTCACTCATCTCTCGAGAGTGACCCATTCTTTCACAAATGTTTGTAGAAGCAGTCTGCATGCGTGCTTGATTTTATGCACCTGTGACTATGGAAGTGATTGGAACACCAGAATTCAATGATTTGGAGGGGTGTCCCAATACTTTTGCCAATATAGTGTATCTCTAATTATGCACATGACCTATGTACCAATTTAATATAAATTCCACAGGCATTGGGAAGTCCTACCCTGTCTTGTTAATTTTCCTTATTATATTATCAAAAATAAAGAATTCTGCATTTTCTTTTTTTAAGAAGTGCTAATTAACCAAATTCTTATGTTAACTCTAAGGGGAAAGGCAATTCTTATCTCAATCCTTCAATAGACATTGGGTTGCAAGCCTCAAATTAAATACTAACTGCAAGAAAGAAGAGAATGTCAGAGAAGACAATAGCGTAGCTCAAAGTGTGTTTTTTATATTGTGTGAAGAACACAACGTCTTGGGGGTTTAGTTATGTGTGAAAAGCTGATGTAAAGCCACGTTATAATTTACTACAATCCCTGCCCAACCATAAAAGACGGGCAGTTGTGTAAACAGCTATTGTTTCCAAGGCCCCTGCTGGCTCTGTCGGCTCTGTGCCAACATGATGCACAGAGAAGGTTTTCACGCCCACAAGTGCCCATGTACACATGAACACACGCACGCACGCACACACACACACACACACACACACACACACACGTTTGCATCTTTGTGGGGACTCTCCATTAATTTCAATGGGGAAACCTCACAACATAACAACCCCGACAAATCCATAACCATAACCATAAGTAACCAAACAAAATTTTTTATTTTTCATTGCATTCACAGATCTTTGTGGGGACCTGAAAAATGGTCCTCACAACATCAAAATAACAGGTTTTTTATCACATTGTGGGGGACATTTGGTCCCCACAATGTAATATAAACATAATCCACACACACACATACACACACACACGCAAGCGTGCCACGTCTTTACAGTTAAACCTCCACCCCTCAAATTATGCCACCTGCCTACTTGCCCGCCCAGATCATCTCCCCACAGTGTGGTCTCTGCCTGGTCGTCTCGTATCAAAGACCCAATTAACATCACACCGTCACAGTTTGTCCTCTCAGGGGACCTGCGGCACTCGCCATTCCTCCATTAGGAGGTGTAATTCCTCATTCATCCACACAGGGGTCACACACCAATGCACGATGTCCAGGAGAAGAATGGAGAGTGAGCGTGACGTGACCAAGCTGGAAGTCAGCTATGAAGTCACAGCTCATTTATGCAAAACGTAAAAAGCTTACATTAAGAAGAAAATTCTCAGCGTATATTAGGAGTCCAATTCCCACTGTAATTTCTCCAAAGTGTCAAACTCTACAGAATCAATACAGAAACAGCTTTAAATTATAGATCAGCCCAAGTATTACAGCCATTGTGCTGCTCACAGTCCAAATAATGGGATGAATATGAACTCTGATAACAGCCCTCTGAGCCCTAAGCACCGCTGTTCATTGGTCCCATAATAACCTGAAACTTTCAATGTAAAACAAATAATAATAGTCAATTCACCCATCATCCTCTCTTTAGAACTGCTTATCCTGGTCATAGTTGCAGGGAACAACAATAGCAATAATAATCATCATCATCAATCCATCCATCTTCTGTAGCTGCTTGTCCTATTCAGGGCCACTGGGGGTCTGGAGCCTATCCTGGAAGCTACAAGCGCAAGGCAGGGAACAACCCAGGATGGGGTGCCGACCCATTGCGGGGTACAGTCACACACCATTCACTCGCATATATACTCCTCCGGACAAATAGGTTACTCTGTTTAACCTCAGCTCTTCTTAGACTGTGGTGGAGAACTGAAGTACCTGGAGGGATCTCCCTGATGGCACGAGGAGAACATGCAAAATCTGCAGACATGGAACCCTGGTGGAGATCTGAACGCTGCTCCCAGAGGTGTCAGGTGACAGTGCTAAGCACTGCACCTCCAAGCTGCCTCAGTGAAAGTCACCCCACTGTTCACAGCAATGATCTAATTCAGCCGTACATTTTCCTGACTCAACCACTACCCCAGGTACCTTGTTTGGCTAATCAATACCCCATTAAGTTTTTTTAACAAATCAAGTTGATTAATTAATTGAGCAGGTGGAGAAAATTTAACAAAGTCATAGAATGGCTGAGGTGCCCCTAAGGAGAGGTTTGGGAACCAAAGTGGAGGTTATCTAGCCATCTAACAAGATATCAGGAACTTTCTGGAGAAGAGACAAAATTGTTGTTTATTTTTTATTGTGTTACTGTTCATTTGCTTATGTTATAATGTAAAATTGTGTTTTTAAGCAAATATATATTTACTACCAAGATAAATAGTCTGAAATATTTTCTTTGACTGTCTAAGACATTTGGACAGTCTTGTATATAGAGTCCATTACTTTGATTAACGTGTGTGCTTTGGCTGTTGCCCAGTGTTTCGGAGGCCTTGACCACTGGGGGGCAGTGTAGTAACCGGAGTGGCTCTGCATCCCCGCTGCTTCCCGGTGCTTCACAGTGAAATTGACTCACAGCCACATTGACACCTACTTCACTTAAAAGTTGTGAAGGACACGAGAAACTGCAAAAGAAAGTGATTAAGCATCTGGAGTTGCGTATCTCAGCTCCCTTCGGTGGCTCTACCGTGCCTCACCTCGCACGTGTGCACGAGAGAGACCCACGTTCAGTCACGATCAGTCACGCCGCGGCCTTCGCGTGCTGGTGCAAAGCTAGCGAGAGAACAAACTGAAGCAAAGGCCGCGAGGGGATTTTCAAAGACCCACCTGAAATGATTCCCCTCATTTCACCTGGTTCTATGGCTCTTTTCAATAGCCTACCTCAAACTTAACCATGACATGTGGAAAAAGTATTTACCATTAATTTCTGCATTTAATCAATGCAGGTGTTTAATAATCCACTTCTGCCTTAGGTACCAAAACAGTCTGAGTTTAACTACTTCTGGAATACATGTATTTTTTTATAAAACACAATTAATGTATTCAAGAGCTACAAAAACCTCCTATCTAGTGGAAGGTTTCTTTATTGGCTAAAGTGATCATCCCGTTATTGATTGCACCGTATGTTCCTGTGTCAACCTTGATGAAAAACAATGGCATTATCCCATTGTCTTGTTATGAAAGGCTGGACCAATCAGATTGCTTCAAAGTGTTCCTACTTTGTTTACCACTTGAGTGATTAAGTGCTTCGGGCTTATAGGTTAATCGCATCATTCTCCGTCTCTGTCAAGACTCACCTTCTCTGTCGACTGCGACGTCCCGAAGAAGATGGGGATGAAGGCCAGCCAGATGATGCAGGTGGTGTACATGGTGAAGCCGATGGGCTTGGCCTCGTTGAAGGTCTCAGGGACGCCGCGCGTCTTGATGGCGTAGACGGTGCAGGTGACCATGAGCAGCATGCTGTAGCCCAGCAGGCAGATGAGCGACAGGTCCGAGATGTCGCATTTCAGCATGCCGCGTGCCAGGACCGGGTTGGCCGTGCGCTGGTCCTCGTAGTCGATGATGGCCTGTGAGGGGTCCACCCCGAACCACACGCAGACGCCCAGCAGCTGCACCGAGATGAGGCTGAAGGCGATGACCAGCTGGGAGGCGGGGCTGATGAAGCGGGGGGCGCTGACCGACCGCTTGCCCTGCTCGAAGATGCGGTAGATGCGGTTGGTCTTGGTGAGCAGCGCCGCGTAGCTGATGCTCATGCCCAGACCCAGGAAGATGCGCCGCAGCGAGCAGACGCCCACGCTGGGAGTGGAGATCATGAGGAAGGTGGTGGCGTAGCAGAGGAAGATGCCCGTCAGGAGCACGTAGCTGAGCTCGCGGCCTGAGGCCTTGACGATGGGCGTGTCGTTGTAGCGGATGAAGGTGACCACCACCAGCAGGGTAGCCAGAATACCCAGGACGGCGATGAAGACAGGGAGGATGGCCCAGGGCGAGCTCCACTCCAGCTTGATGATGGGGATGGGCTGACAGACTGTGTGGTTCTCGTCGGGCCGCAGGTCGAAGCGGCACATCTTGCAGGTGAAGGTGTCGGCTTGGTACTGGTAGCCATCGCAGCGCTCGCAGTGCCAGCAGCAGGGGATGCCCTTCACGATCTTCTTACGCTCTCCCGGGTGGCACGGCTGGCTGCAGATGGAGGCGGGCACCTGGCGAATTCCGCCCGGCCACTGCATCGCCCGGATCTGCGGAGCAGAGGCGACGGATCACCAGTTACGGGATGGGATGGGCAATGCTGCAATGTTAACATGAAGCTAAGGCACGCTTCATAAAAAACCTCAATTGAAGGTATGGGCACACTAGCATGAAAAAATATTCACACCTTCTCAGCATCGAGCCAAAGTGGGCGTGGCACAGAATGTGGCATTTTGCTTCAAGACAGTGTTGGTGCAGTGATGTTAATAAGGAATAAATTAAATATAGTTTGGCTTTAAAATATATATTTGAAAACTACTTATAAAGTTTTCTTTTTCCTTGTACCTCAGTATTGGTGAAATTAGGAGCACAGAGTTGAATAAACACATATTGTTATATTACCCTTCTAACCCAGTAAGCTAGGTGTGACACATACGGCTACAAAGTGCACCAGAATATGTTTTCCACCTTCGAGACCCATTTGAATGCTCAGCGCTTATCTCCTGTTTATAAATTTAAATTCTGACAATCAACAGTTAAAAAGAATTGGTTGCTCCACAACCCACGACTGGTGAAACTGAAAGGTCAACCCCACCAACACAATACCTGATTGGCTGACCTACGCAAATTTGCAGGTCAAAGTTCAATAAAGATGAATTGGGCGCAAAACCGCTCCACTCCTGGAAGTGAGGAATCAGATTTTCACGTTGCACAGCTATAATGGAACTGAATGAGAAGCAAATATTTTTTCACGCTAGTGTGACTGCACCTTAACTCAAGTATTTATGTTCTTGAAAAACACCCTTAATTAGATAATGTGTAATAATAGAGCTTAATTATTTACATGGTTGGTATGATGTTTAAATGGATAAAGAGCAGACTTGGAGGAATATTAGCCCTCCTAGCAAAATGGAATAACCACAAAAAATGTTTTATTCACCATAAAGTATTATGTCATTGCATATGAAAATGATTTTTTTGTTCCCTCAGTTTCTGAGTAACTAATTTCTATAAGAACCATATAATTAAATATATTTTATTGAAATAGACTTTTTCTGTTCTTTTGCATAAAAAGCCACCCTTTCATAGATGTTTCACAATGTTTTACAATCCATAATCATGAAACGATGACAATGTATTACCATATATTCAATTCATTTCACTTAAGCAGAACATCTGTCTTAGCCAAAAAAAAAACACACATCACATGAATGCCCTCCTGCTTAAAGTTAGAATAATCTTGACAATGTCAAGATTGTGTCAGCTTTGATCCTTCGACTTGGCTAAATAGGCCACTATTGTATAATCCATCTCATTTCCATGACTATTGATCCAGTACTGGGTCACCGTGCACCTGGAGCCTGACCTAAGGCAGGGGACACCCTGGAGGGGATGCCAGTCAGTCACAGGGCACGAGGCAGGGGACACCCTGGAGGGGATGCCAGTCAGTCACAGGGCACGAGGCAGGGGACACCCTGGAGGGGATGCCAGTCAGTCACAGGGCACGAGGCAGGGACACCCTGGAGGGGATGCATAGCTTCAGCTAGCCAGTAAGCATGGTTATTTCAGTCTGTGGTGTTCAATAATTCAAAAACCATGATGATACGTCATTATAGCTAGACTGAGGGACTGCGGTACAGTTACAACCAGAAGCTTTTAGAGGGACAGAAGAAATTTCTCACTGTGGTCTTACTTGTTAATAAGCACATAATGTGGAGCTAATTGAGTACAGGGCTGCCACTGCCCTGCATTTTATGACCATCTGCAGTGTGGGGTCTGGCTGAATGCTGCTGTTTTCTCCCTGAACATGGGCTTCATAATAGCATGAAAGCATCACAACTCAGCAGCTACCAGCACTTGTACTGGAACAAAATCACTTAAAATGAACATGCACTCTTGTCAAAAGCTGCATAAAGTAAACACAGAAATGTACTTCCCTCCCAGGATATTAAATTTATGTTGAATTTCGTTAAATAAAAAACAGCACAGTCCCCTGCCTGTGTGGCGTGAGATGGACTCCAAGATCCCCACGACCCCCCAGTGGGCAAGTGCATGGACATTGAATGGATATAAACATGATTTATAAGCTTCCTATTTTACTTTTTTTGACTCTGGTGTCTTTATCCCTTTTAAAAGATCTAAATGAGGATGAGAAACCCACATGACTAAATATACTGAAAATGACAAAAAAAATCCACATAATTGTAGCTTGATTGTAATGTTGGATTATTTTTATACACACATCCGCATGTGCGTCTGGTTCCTAGAGGCGTCCTGTCACATTGCGGAGTCTTTGAAATGATTCAGTGACTCTGAATTGTCCCCAGTCTGTGAGTGAATCTGGAAGTGCTTTTCTATGCATTGAATTCCCATCCTGGGCTACCCTGCCTTATGTTTAATAGGATTACCAACTAAACACAATGCCACATGATTTGTAATCCTAATTGAATCAGTATTTCCTGAAAATGGATAAACACAGGATTATGGGTGGTTTGGGCAGGTGCGTCAGTAATGTGAGTAAGGTGACTATCACTGCACGATCTGAGTCGATTGTGGGTTTGAGTAGCGCATGTGCTGCCGATCTGAATCAACCGTGTTAAACTACTGAAGTATTCATTCAAGTAATAAAGGACTTTAGACCATCTGCCAAACCTGCACCATTACCAATTATAGGACGTTTAGGCCCGTCTCATGTATTTGCATAAAAAATTGCTGATTACCTTTAATTGTCTGTATTGACACTAGCAAAGCCCCTCACAGGAACTGGGCATGTGCATGTATTGTATCTCGTTTGCTTTTATTTCTTTTAGCTACTTTTTAGGTAGTTTCAGTTAGTTTTTAGTTGCTCTTGCATTTGGCTTCCAGTGTTGCCATATCCACAGCACATCCGCGGTTGATTCAGATCCTATAGTGACAGTGATCATCGCTTCAGTTAATTCGTTTAACCCGTCCCTCATTCCAGCTGAACCTGTACATTTATGCATTTTGCGCTCATATTTGAAGCATGTTACAGTAGCTATTTTCCTCTTTCTGCCAAAATGGCGGCTCCTGTCTACTCCAATAAAGGGAATCAGCAAATGGAAACTCACCCAGGCTTTCCCACAGTGATAAAATTAACCAGGGCAGGATTTAATGCTCACACAGTAATTCAATTAATCAAAGGGATCAATCCAAAGAACTTCAAAATGAAGCAGAAGTATTCCTGGGCAGGGCAGGCAAAGCAGAGCAGCTCAGCATGCGGACCAACTGGACCTGCAGCAAGCTACCACACTGTAACAATTTTGCAGCAGCTTTTGCGGTAAAGACCGTTTTCGCAGCGTAATCACACATAAATGAACTATTAAGTGCAGGGTGACGCTCGTACGTTTGACAGACCCTCCACGGTTGCTGGTTTTGTCACTTAACGTTGCGGCATGCGACGTGATCGCCAATTACTACCAAGCACTGACCATTTTCAAAGCTCTTCAGAGTCTCGCATCCAGCTCATTATATCGCTCCGCTGAACGGGGCCCATCATTAAAGCTTAAAGGACCGTGATGTTGCCCGTTTTATTTAGCGCAGCGATATAACAAATCGCCCTGCATGGGAAAAACACAAATTGGATTAAAACACAGCAGTGATGGAATTAATGTCTTGCTCAGCCTACCGTAGAGTTTTCGGTGACTGGTGTCTAACCTCGTAAAGTAAGGGAAGCCTTACTTCAGCCCAAATAGCTGCTCCAAGTATCCACTTATTTTAGAGGTAAATAGGGTGACTTCGATACACCAACTTATCAGTCTTAGCTCAGCAAAGTCAGGAGATCTTAAAACGAACATCCAATGAATCCCCTCTCTGTTACCGGCTCTTTAAATTATGAGGTCATTTAGATAATGATCATTTTGGTCGTCATACCCAGTGGATGCCTCAGGGGATACCTTATGAGGGGCTCATTTCGAGGTCTCAGGGATCATTGTCTTGCTCATCTAATGGATATCCCACTAGACCATCTTTGTGATCCGCTTATTAGTCTAGGGAGGGTTGATGAAAGACCATTTCGGTCAGGAGTTTATGAATTTGCAGGTCATGCTCCACCATCAGTTTTTCGACTAATAAGCCTCTGTAATTATTTCAGTCTTCAAGTGGTTATTGAGTGTCCAGGACGTCAGCAGTCTAGTCCTCTAGGGCCACACACCAAATCGCGCGCGGACACCCGGAATCCACATGAAGTCGAGACCAGAAGTGAAGAGCGGCTGAGAGGTTAGTCTGACAAGGTGGCTGTGCACTCACACCTCTTTCGTTGTTGAAAGATGCAGTAGATGCCTTTTGTCTTGGAGAGCAGGGTGACACAGCTGATGGCCAGGAGAAGGAAGATGCATGGCAACAAGCAGACCCAGCTTTCTTATCATTCATCAACTCTAAACACAACGATGAGCCGTAACCTCAGATTAATACTTACCTTAAATAATGCTTCACTTTCACTTTAGCTCCCATGTTTGATGACGCCCTTAATCACATTTCCACCTTCTCCTTGCTTTTAGTCCTTACCAACATTAATTCATTAATAAATTGACTCAGTTGATCCATCTACAGTTACTTTGATAAATACCTAACAATTGTAGAATTGAATCCATATATAAAAATGATGTTTTCTGCCATAACAGATTATGTAATTGCACTTTATGCAGCCTCTCCTTGAATCTACAAATAATATCAATAATAGATGCAAAAAGCATTTATTGAGGAACAACAGTCATTGTTCTACAGTAGGTTCAAAATCCCATATGCTCAACTGGTTCATGCCCAGCGACTGGAACACTCATGAACGTTCGTGAATGATGGACGAGTGTGTCTTGCTGCATAAAGTAACTAAACTAATAGTCAGTAGCTTCAAATTCCCATGCTAGCGATTCACAAGTCGCTTGGCATCTCACCCTCACATGCCTATTTATGAAAAACAATAATGGATGGATTATCTGAGTGATAATGCACAGACTTATGGATGACTGACTGCGTAGCGTCCCACTAATAGCCTCATGGGTTTCTTTGATGATGTAGCGATTTGAAAAGAATGAAACAATTAATTTAACACCCAACAAAGCACCGGCACCTGATTGTCTGCGTGGCTGAGCTATAAGGGAAGATCCGCTCCTCAGAACAGTGTCTTAATAAGGTTGTTCCAGTTGTTACTGAACACCCACCCAATGCTAAATACATGGGAACTGTCATTAATTATACAATTTCCCAAAAAGTCAGAGTCTAAAGAATTGAATGACTTTTGTCCTGCGACTTTGACTTCCAAACGAGACAAATGCATGCAGAGGGATCTAAGCCATCATCTCACCCCACCTATTGAATATCTGGACCCACGAGGATTCCACCCGTACTCTGATCCACACTGCCGACGGTGGTTTTCCATTTTACAAAGACTTCGGGAAAATAAAATTTTAATTTTTCAATTAATTAATCGTGGAGTAACGGTTGTTTTGAGCACTGGAGCACCAATGAATTTACACTAATGAAATGAATTTACACTAATAAAGTGAAAAATTTCAGTGATGACATATTTAAGTACTGTAAGCAGCCTAGCTGAAGGTATTTTTTTCCTCAGAAAACTGAGGGGGTGTGGGGTCAGAAATCTGGGGTCAGCAAGACTTACTGTACCAAGGGGGACCAAATTTTACAGAGTGCCCCTTCCAAGTTGATCATGCAAAATTCACAACAATTTACTGAGAACAGCCCCCCCAGGACAGGCACGCAAATTTTGCCACGCCCCCCCAGCCCCCCCACCCTGGGTCAGTGAGAATGTTAGCCTAGTTAGCCTAATCAAAAGCTTACTCCGTTTTACTTTGTTTGTTAGGTTTGAGCATTTAACACTCATCAATAAACACTGACTGTCTGGAGGAAAAAAGCAGGGTATTCCCATCAGGTAGCACATATATAGAACAGTTCTGCCAAGAAGAGCAATTTATTAAAAAATCGTTCATTCCTAAGGCAATAAATCTTATGAATGCACTGCAGTACTGTGATATTACTACGACTCTGACTGTACACTTGGTTTTTTAAATTCTTATTTATTATTATCACACTGCCTATGTGTGTGCGTGCATGTGAGTGTGTGTGTGCGCGTGTGTGTGTTTGCATATGTGCGTGCATGCGGACTTGTGCCCCCAGCGATGGCTTGGCACCCCCTACTCGGTTATTCCCTGCCTTGTGCCTGTAGCATCCAGGATAGGCTCTGGACTCCCCTGACCCTAAATAGGACAAGCAGATGGATGGATGAATTTTTCTTTTTCAACTTGAGAGAACCCAGGACAAATAACCAAACATGTATAACTCCTGTTGAATTTGCTAACAATAAAGAAGGGAACTGTCTTCAGAGCAAAACTAAGCACTGTCCTCTTTTATCAATGCAGACATATAATAACAGACCTGGCAGTAGCAGGGAAAGTCTGCCTACATGCAAAGTAAAATATTGGAAAAAAGCAAGACAATCAGGAAATTCACCCTTCGGAGGGTATATGCATGAGTTAGATTGACAGCTCTGTAGCAACAGTATCCATGGCAACACTAGACCATGTAAACAATCGTTACCAATTAGTTCCTGTGCCATTTCCCCAAACCAAATGAGAGTAATCTTATCCATAGAATGATACTGCTTTTGTATCACAAAGGATTTTACATTATGACCAATTGCTCTATCAGAGCCACCAGTCACAGTTAATAGAAACATTAAGGCTTGAACAGCTAAGATGAACTATCCTTTGAACAAATTAGCATATAAAAAAATTAATGTGGCATTACAGTTCTGCCAGTGCGACTACCTAAAAGGTTGTATTTGTCATTGGTTCATTTATTGGTTGTAATTGGAATACACAATGAGACAGTTCTTATTGTTAGATATTAGTCAGTAATTAAGCCTAACATTATTTCCCAGCAGAGTACCAAAAATAGGAGCAAGGCTTTCTATTCACCAAACACATTTCTCAATATAAAATTTGTTTAATTGTTTATGATTATGGCATTTCTTTCAATGTGATTATAGCTCTTTATTACATTTCGGTTTGAATTCAGCCTAATTAAAGAACCATAATAAAACTGTGAGACAAAAAAAATAATTTTAACATGAGAGCAGCAAGCTTGACGCGTCTCAAGTTTCTCCCAAGAGTCATTCTGACCAATCAGACACCTCTGAGGATGTCAAGTCAAACCAGCCAACCTGCAAGATTCATTTCCTATTGGTCATTCGTGAGTTCCTTGGCCAGCTCTGTGTAATACGGGTTTCTAATAGGGCATGGCCGCCTAAAATCCTAAATGGAAAAGTCTGCTTTCAAAAGTAATGCATCAATGTGTGACATTCATTGCCTATAAATTATTAATGCTTTTGTTTTTTATTGTCTATGGAATGTTGAATTTTTTAGAGTCACTTTAGTTGACCGATTGATTTTAGCATCCTAACTTTTCCTGGGTAGTTAGAAGAATTAAAATCAGTAAATGAGATTTCACACTTTCCAATATTCCCCCAGTCCCTTGTCTGATTAATTTATTCTAAATCTGAAGAAAATATATCACACATTTTTCAGTCTGTGAGTATCCCTTTTGATTATCCTGCTTTCTAAATCCTTCATATATCTGTAGCACATCTAAGCTTATAGTCAACAGAATCATTAAAGACTTATATATCTTAAGTAAGCTGATAATTTCTGAAATGATTATCAGGCACATATCAACTAACAAAAGAAAATCAGAAAGGCATGCAGACTGTATAAGTTATACGTTTGACCCTTTTTAATTATGAAGAAAGGAAATGCATTTCCCCCAGATGGCTTGGTCTTATATTGATTCATTTATGTATTTATTTATTTTTGAAGCGTCATGGAATATGCTTTGGATTAAACCATTTTGTATAGGATTGACCTTTGACCTCGGTGCTCCCAGTTCCTGCATTTGACCACATTTACAACAGGCATTAGGACAGCCTTAAAGGAACCTACCACAGTTATTACAAAAAGGTCCACAGGTTCATTTTTCTTCCCCCGCTTTCAGTCCTCCAGCACCAAAGTCTTTATTTCATACCATGTTTAACAACCATTTAGTTGTGTCATCTAACTTACTCATTTAATAATGACTGATTCCCGCTTAATATTTAACAACCATGAGAACACTGGCAGAGACATTTATTCACACACACCCTACGTATGTTGGGATATAAATGTTCTCTTTAAAGATATATGTGTATATTCTATATATATTATTTACAGAGGGACCGTACATATAGTCATAGACTTGGTTTTCATGCAGGTCAGCAGCCTGAAAAACTGACTTCCTTCATCAATCACAGAATTATTTCAAAGACCATGTCGCTTTTTTTGACTATCCATTAGGGCTGGTGAGTTTCTCTGCGTCATGAAAAGCTTTCTGAGTTAGTGAATTATCCTGTTAGTGCATTATAATCCTTGTCTCAGTCACTCTACTCATTCCGCACTCACTCTACAGCAGGGTCCATACATGCATACACTATGAGCGATTTAGAGGCATGAATTAGCCTAGCAGCAAGGGGGGGGGGACCAGGAAACCAATCAGAACCTCATATGACACAGGGAGAACAAGCAAACACCACACGCAGGGTGGGTGCAGAGTTCGAACCACCAACCCGGGGAAGCGAGAGGCAACTGTCCCACCCTTGCATTTTAATAAAGTAACTTGGTATACCATCCAGTGAGCGTGCCCTGCTGCCCCTGCAGTGGATTGGTATACCATCCAGTGAGCGTGCCCTGCTGCCCCTGCAGTGGATTGGTATACGATCCAGGGAATCAGCGACCCTGTTACAGCCTCACAATAACCCTGGAAGTCTGATGGATCATACAGTGTATTAGTGCCTGCATGTTTGTTAGTCCACTGAGAGTTAAAAGACACGTTGATGCTACCTAGAGAAAAACAAGTACTTACATTTAAATGAAGCTGGTCGGTCCAGTGGCCAATAATCTTGTATTCGGCTGTGTTGTTCTTGATCTGATACTGGTAGATCTCGTAGCGTCCGGGAGCGTCCCCATTTTCATTGAAGAGCACTGGATTGCCGGCGATGCCTGCAGGAAGAGATGAGGAAGAAGAGAGGCTCTGAACCGATCTATTATATTCATCAGTAATGGTATCGCTCTCCTTCTCCAATGGCTCTAAATAGAGCAAATAAGCAGATGCATTCTTTTTATGTAACTGAATTGCCCGCATTTATCAAAACACTCTATTATGTCTATGACAGTGTTATTGGTAGTATTGTTCATTGTTGACAACACGATAGCGGCAATTACACCAAAGTTATTACCTTTTTCGCAATAACTCTGATGCGACTCTTGGAAACCGCATTACAGCACCTAACCTTGGGTAAGCCTCCAAGCTACGTCATAGTCTGCTGGTTAAGGGATTGAGTCTGTCACTGGAATGCTGCAAGTTCCATTATAGCAGGTGTTGTTTGCTACGGGCGATTGTAATTAACCTGCACAACTCATGCTGGTTTAAGGAGGGCAGCATAACTGGGCCGATCGCTGCGTTTTTTGAAGAGCAGTCCTATTTATAGTCTTTATATCTGTACAGATTGCAGAGAATCTGATTACAAGTCAGATGCAGTAAGTGTTATTGGCAGTCTTACAATCTGTCAGGCTTATAAATGTTTCAAATGTTGCCTCTTCGTTGAATATTCCTGCCAGTCATGTAACATATTGTAGTTATTATAAGTGTTCAGCTTTGTTTTTTTCCTGAGAGAACAGGTGTTAATAAGGTGCAGGATTTTTATAGTTTCTTAAATTAAAGCAAACAGTTTGTTTTAATTTATGAGTATATACACTGACTGAAGAGGTTTTTAGGTACATCTGCTTGTTAATTCAAACAGCCTGCACCACTAAACTGCAAATCCTAACTGCGGCACAGTATAAGTATCAGACAGATGGGGTCAAGAGGTTCAGTTACTTGGCACGGGCACGGCTAAGACGAGTGATTTGGGCGATTCTCAGCATGGCGACGTAATCAGCTGCTGGTGCCACACATGGCGGATTCAGAAACTCAGAAATAGCCGCCCTCCTGAGATTTCCATGCATTACAGCCTAGAACTTACAGAGAATGGAGTGATGAACAAGAGCAGCCAGTCAATGGCATTTCTCTTGCCAAAAACAGCTTGTCAATGAGACAGATCAGACTAGAATAGCCGGACTCGCTAAAGCGAACAGGGATGTCACAAGTGATGTGGAACAGTTCAGTGCAACAGCCGCATTTAGAAAGGCCTCTCTGAACACAGAATTCATCTACCCATCAAGCACCTAGAGAGGCAAATGTTGGACTGGTTTCAAGGGCATAGAATGCTAACAAAGGCTAGTTTGTGCTGACGATAGAAAAAATAAGACAAGTAACAATATATCCTTTGTACAAACAGGTTGAGTGAGAAAATGTCTGGCAATGTCTAAATTATCTTAGAAGAGGTTAGTATCAATGCACATTTAAAAATACATGGGTTAGAAAACAGTATATGGGTGGCATGGTGACTTATTAGGCAGCCTTACACCTCCGGGTTGGGGGTTTGAGTCCCACCTCTGCTCTGTGTGTTTCCCCCCAGTAGTCCATAGAGTTAAAACTAATTACTTTATATATATACACACACACTTGGAGCATGTTCCCCTGCCTTCTGATAGCCCGGCATCCCATTGAGGATGTTCATTTGATTTGATATGCTCTAGGCCCCTTCTGTGTGACCCTGATTAGGGTGAGTGGTCGGAAGGATTGTGAATAGATTAAAATACACTAACAGGATAATTCAAAGCATTTTATGAACTTGAGAAACCTGCCAGTCCTAATGAGAAGCCAAAAAGTGGCTGTGCGATAGATGAAGGAATCAAGTGAGTTTCACAGGAAGTTTCAGAATGTTGACATGCATGAAAACCAAGTCTATGAACCGATCAAAACAAATTAGTGTCCACAGACACACATGGTGTGCTTCATCACACGCTCTCTATGGGTGATCTGACAGATACCTTGGTGACTGACTATTCCTCAGTGACAGAGTATTATGAATTCCTGCAATATATTTTCATCATCTGGGTTTGTCCTGGGTACTGTGAATGGCATGATTATAACTAAGAGCAACATACGTATTATGTTTTCATGGATAACGGCTCCTTTTTTGCTGCTCTACAACATCTAGAGGACTAAAGAACTTCTACAAACATCTACTCAATCAATTATTGCATGTTTCCATGCAAGATTCCAGCATTCAGTGGGTTTCTGTGATCATGAATATCACTATCAATGCTCACACATTGATACAGTTCAATGACACAACTGAATGATTGTTAAGCATATGGTGTGAAATAGAGGATTATGAGGACTTGAGCACTTGGTACAGAAGAAAATATTCACCATCTCCTGGGGTGAAAATGATCTTTCCTTCTTTCACTACACCCCCCCCCCCAAGAGAATCTGCAGAAAATGCTGCCATACAAGCAAAGGTAATGTGGCACGGTGGTTCAGTACTTAGCACTGTTGCTTCACACCTCCGGGATGAGGGTTCGAGTCTCCACCAAGGCTCTATGTGTGTGAAGTTTGCATGTTCTCCCCGTGTCGTTGTGGGGTTTCCTCCAGGTACTCTGGTTTCCCCCCACAGTCCAAAAACATGCTGCGGTAAATTGGATTTACCAAATTGCCCATAGGTGTGACCGGTGTGTGTGTGACTGTGCCCTGTGACGGGTTGGTGCCCCATCCTAGGTTGTTCCCTGCCTTGTGCCCATAGACTCCAGACCCTAAATAGGACAAGTAGGTATAGAAAATGGATGTAAAAATAACACAAACAGCATTGTCATAATGACGACAGAGATTATCACTGAGTTGTACTACTGTACAGACACAAAAAAAAGTAACAAAAAAATCTCAAGTATGCAAACAGAGAGCAGTTTAAGTTCCTGAATTGAGAGATTCTGTGATCATTACTGCTGAGTGTTAAGGATGGATGCTCAGATCCTAGCAGGAGCTGCCCCCACAGAGGAGGCTCTCAGCTGCCGTGTCGCACTCGCTTTCCGGACGTGCCTTTCACAAGCGCGGGGAGAGCCGTCCTGACAGCTGAGTGCAGGATATGCTCACTCTGCGTGCTGTTGATCTTGCAAATTAAATTTCATGCCCCGCTTTTAGATCCGCTTGTTGCGCCGTAGTCGTTTGCCCCGTAACACCTGCCTCCCAGGATCTGCCACTCCTAGCTAAATCAAGCCATGCTGTCTATTCCTCCATTATCCCAGCATGCATCTGGGAGGCATGCCAAGAACGAAGAGGGGCAAAGGGAGTGGAACATGGGTGATCCGGGAAACATATGGGGAGAGCGTCAAAGGCTATGCTCCCTGAGAAACAGGTGTCTGTGCTGGGGAGGCTCAGCGTCTGTTACATGGGGGGAGCACTGACATTCCCAGCGTATGAGAGTTCAGAAGGCCACCTGGACCTTTAACCAATCAAAAGCCTGGACCTTCAACCAATCAAGAGCCACATGAGCAGAAGCACGCCACTGCAGCCCTTCCCAAGTTTTCCTCTTAATTAAGTTCTCTCTGGTTAGGATGCCCATTGTTGTATCCCTGTTCCATCCTAGCATCCCTTTGCCACACCATCTCCCTCAGAGCCTTACAGCATCTTGATGGCTGCTGTGATTAGCCTTCGCTTTATTTGGGTGAATGTGCACTGTGCTGTCCAAGACCAGTCATTATATTCATTTTAATGTCAATGATTCATCCTCGAGCCCTCCTTTTATGACCTCGTAAACTCTTGATTCAGAAATTCATAAAAATATTGTTTAACTATACTGGCCAGCTAAGATTTTTGTCACAGAACACCAGAGGGGTGTCAGTTCTGTACTTTTTTTATAATGATTTCAGAAACCGATTTCCGAATTTTGCTATCATCCATAATTTTTGAGTGATGTTATTCATACTGTAGGCTATACCGACAGTATGCAATTCCTTTTTTAAGACTGTATGTGCATATTGGAGTGTAATTTAGGGAAAACATATTTAATTTCTATTTTTGAAATGAATTTTCTGTTTTTCTTAGACTTTACAGAAGAGAGAGAAGAACTGCAGGTCTGTATCGCCAGAGTTTACAGGCTGTAACACGTTTGGACATGTTGAGACAGGATCCTGCTCTCTCTCTGATATGAAAAAACGATGTCAAGGAAAGCGGAGTCCCAGGATGCTGGCTGACTTCTGCTGGGCCCTTAAGAGGGATGTTTCTGAGGCTAAGTACAGCAGAAAATCATACACTTATACCTTTTAGATGAGTTACTTCCACCATATACTGTAAATACATGCATTTAGCGTGTAGTTTAATGGTGTGTTACTCAAAATCCTTGTGTGATAAGGAAATTCCAATTAGATATCTGAATTCAGCACAAACATACCATAAGATTCACCTATTTTGATTCATATGACAAAGAGAAAGCAAAAACCTGCTGACCAGTGCTATTAGTCCATACCCTTCCTGTCCCATCTCCGGTGTCCCTGCCTTCTGCTATTCAGGATCATAGTGACACTGTGCCTGAAAGGTATAGAGGATGGTACAGTGGGGGAACCGTCTTTACATCTATTCAAACCAGCATCATTCTGACATTTTCCTCACTAATCAGTCAATAAAAAAACAGTTCTGAAATATAACTGCTTCTGTTCAGCAAATGGAAATATACTACGGAGGCGTGGTAGCCTGCAGTCGTATAAGCACCAATCACATTCAGTGATCTATCTCCCAGTGCATCATGGGAGTACTATGCTAATATGCTAATTGAGTTTTACGTGTCATTTACAAATCTGACATATGCTGCAAACATCTCATGTAACTGACAGAAATATCCCATCCATCTGCCTAACACTGGCTTATGTTGGACAGGGTCATTGGGGGTCACGCGGCCCAATCCCAGGTTGCTGAGGGAACAAGAAAGAGGTACAGCCTGAATGGGATGTCAGTCCATCGCAGGACTCACACACAGACAATATAGAGACCAGTTAGCCTGACTACACGTCATGGGATTGCAATAGGGAAAAAAAATGCTTAAATGATATCATATTAAGTATGT